TTTTTCTTCACTTTATGGTCATTCCTTTTGTCTCCTCTTTTTTTATTAGTTTGCAGATTAAATAATTTCGCATTCTCGCACTACCAATTAATGAATCACTTTATTCTTGTCTTTTCTTTTTCTACTAATTTCTTACATTTCTTTCATCTATCTATTGGTCTTCTTCTTCTAATTATTCTCTTTTGGAGTTGTAATGACATGCCTTTTATCTTGTTTGTCGTTTTCATATGTCATCTCATGGCACCCGTGCCCTCCTCTTGTTGAGCGCTTTCCCGTCTTGCTTGGAAGGGACACTGACGGGAAGTTTTCTTCAGAGCCAACCATGCTACTCAGCGAACGACCGTCCCGAAGGCCGCATCCTGTTGGTTCAAGATTAGTCACGAAAAGTTAGGTCCAGCCGCCCTTTCATTCTTTTCATGAATTTGGGTAGACCCATTCAGGTCACGAAAATGAGGTCCAGCTTTGGGCAGGCCCCTGGTACCCCGCCGTTAGTTCTTTTCCTTTGGGTAGATCCCTGGTACCAGACCCCTGGTATGATCAGGTGTCCGTTTTGGTTGTTTTGGCCCTGGACAATTTGTGGTTCTGTTTTCCTTGGTTTGGCTAGATCCCTAGTGGTACCAGACCCCTGGCACCGGGTTCTGCTGGTCAGGTGGTGAACCTATCGCACAACCGCCTCTCCATCCTGCCGGCCGACTTCCCTCGCACTGCGGCGCCCGGCTGCCCAAACGCCCCGTGAGTGAGGGCCGACGGTGAGGTGTGAGCTCCGCACGAAAAAAGCATGCAGCCCGCAGATTCGAGAAGTAGGGAACATTCCAGGCTATGTCCAGATAAACAACCTTATTACTATTCAGACGATTTCTCGTATTGCCACAAGGTGCAATCCCAGGGATAGAAAAAGCCTTAGAACACACCTTACCAGAAAAGTGAGGAATGTGGGAATGAACCCAACGAGTCTCCTAAAGGAACCCACCACTTGGATGGTGTACAAGGGTCATTCCAATTCTCATTCTCTGCTGGAGCACCGGCAAGTTCTAGCTGCACCAGTTGGTAGGTGGTTTTTCGCAGTAATGTTGACCCCATATTCATCAACCAACCAGTTTATGAATGAGGGGGTGCTTTTCCCTGGGGTGAGTGGGTATTTATCACTTTTAGAGGGGAACACCCCCCTATTAATAAACTGGGGTTGATGAATATGCGGTCAACATTATTTATAGGCGTTTATCCATTCCAACTGGTGCAGGATTTGTCCATTTACGGTTCTTTTCGTCTCTAAGAGACATGTGCACAAACACCCCGACAGCGGGGTCTAAAGGTGGCCAAACACCAGAGATACAGCTGAGCAAAACTCCCATTGGCCAACCTGGTTTTGTGGTGGGTACATTAAGGCCTATATAGGCCTTAGTTTTGTTTTCTTCTCCTGGGGCAGGGCGTTTTTTTTTTTTTGGGGGGTAGAGTCTGAACTCCGGATTGGGCGATTCCTACCCGCGCCTTCTGGATCACACAAACAAAACAAACAAACAATTTTCGTTAGACATTCATACAGACACACATATGAGTGCATTGAGGGGCTGTCCTAAAATGTGTGAAAAGATCGCCTTTCCCATCGAAACCACGACACACTAACTTGGGCTGTTCAAAATCAATGCTTATTTCTTAGATGATAGTGGTTTCCCGGAGGTTTTGAATAAGCGAATGAAGCCATACTGTGGATGGACAAAATCCATTTCGCACCTCAGAAACCCTGGTTTCGGATTTGATTCCCCTGTTTCATTCCAGGGTTTCTTACGTGGTGCGAAATGGATTTTGCAACCATCCATATGAATCCATTTCTGCCTCTCAGGAACGACTTGCAGTACGTGGACCTGTCGTACAATCAGCTGACCTCAGTGCCTACTGCTCTGATGCAGTGCAGGCGCGAGCCGCATCGGTACCGTCTACAACAACCAGGGGTTGAAATCCAAATCCAAAAGCAATCCAAATTATTAAATGAGGGTACCTCACAATTCAAAAGGGTTTTGGGGTTTTGATCCCTAGTTTGAGACACACCCACCAGTTTTGGGCTCCCCCTCAAGAATGTTCGGAGATAAGTAGGCCAACCTAAATGATGCTAAAGGGTCCTCAAGTTAAGAATACACCCACCTGGAAATTCGGGAACCCTCTTCTGCCTAGTTTCAAAAGGAATCCAAAAGCACAACCACCCACTTTGGGTTTCTTGTCTTTTTTTTGAGACAAGCCCATCGACCAGTTCTGGGCTCCCCCCAAACAAAAAGCGAACCCCACAACCTGCTACCTTACCATGCATGAACCCAGTGCTTCCAGGCAAGCCAGCATAGCAGGCAATGAAGGGACACCAGCATGAAACACCAAATGTAAAAATGCAAGTGGTTCCCTACTATAGTGGTAAAAGCCAAGCTTAAAAGCCAAGCTACGCATCCTTTGGGATACCGAACCTGGGCTTCGAAATCGCGAGCGATTTAGCGAAGGGTCTCTCGGTCTGCGACCAATGGCCATGAAGACAAATTTCAGTGGTTTGTTCATCTGGTTTCTGGTTGGAAAAGTATTACCCAGACGGTCCCTCGGTACCTTCTAAGGACGTACTGAACGAGCCCTTTTTACCCTCCAAAAGCCATCCTCAGGAGGTACTTGGACCCTCTGGGTTATAAGGAAATATCAATCATTATGACATCCAGATGATTCATCAATCATGTTTGATGGTTGAATGAGCTATCTATGTTTTGGCCGGGTTTCAGGGGTGTGGGGTGTGGGGTGGGGACAACTGGGCAACCCATGCCTGAGCAAAGGAGCAAATGGGACGGTTTTCAAGCACAAACTGACCATAGCAAGCTCAGCTGGGGCTCAAAGGATCTCAACGATGCTGGAGGCATCTTAGATCTCTTATGACAGTAGGTCTTACGTCAATGTGTCACCTTTTCCCGTGAAGGAGATATTTGCCATGAAGAACCTGCTTGTTCCAAACAGACTTGGATGACCAGCCCATTTGGAAAGAGATTCACGACACTGTTTTTCTTTTTTCCTGCTCTGCAACATACATTTGCGAGACTGCCAAAATTGTGCGCCCTTCTGGACAGCCAAAAGGACGCCAGCCTTTGTGCCAGGAGTCAGGATACCCCTTTTTTTTCCGACACACCCATTTGAGTAGGGAGCCTTGAATCCACCCTTGTCTAGGAGTCTAGTTGATCCACTGAAGAGCATCACTTGTTCCACCAATTTCATGAGATCGCGGAAGGGTGAGACCGAGCACGTGTTTTAAGCAGCATGGCTTCAGGCAAACTGTCGAGCCCTTGCGTCTTTGACTTGTTGACTTGCTGGTTCTATCTGGTTCTCATCAGGAAATGAGAAATGGAATGACAATCCACCATTTGGCTTCCTTCTTTTCGGAAATCCCCTAAACCGCTTCATTCGAATCCACCACCCGGGCTCGGAAAGTCATTCCCTACCGCACCGATCGCAAGAAATATATCGGGGAACCCCCACACTTGGATCTGTCCGTTTGCAGATCCCATGCTCCAAGTTTCACTTGCGGGTTAACTGAGACACTACCACTCAACCACCTACAAAGCTGACAAAGACGGAAACAAGCCCGCATGGTCGTATGCTCAGCCGAGAAAAAACAAAACAAAACACATCCGGCTTCTCAAAAGCTGATCCGCTGGGAGGAACCGTATGGCTTTGCAAAAATGTGGAAACAACGGTTGCAAAAAGGCTGAGAAGCTGAGGAGCCGCGTGGCTGGGCAAAATGAAAAAAGGCTCTAAAAAGCTGAGAAGCTGAGGAACCCTATGGCTGAGCTCAAAAAAGCGGAAACAAGAGACCGGCGAGAGCCCGGCTTCCCAGGCAGCTCCAGGAGCTGAACCTGAGCCACAACAAGCTGACTCAGCTGCCCGAGGTCTACGAGCTGCTCGCCTCGGGTGGTTGCGGGGGGTGCGTGGGTTTGTGGGTGGTTTGGTCGTGGGCGACTCAATCTTGGGACGTGGAGGCTGAAAAGAGGGACTCTAGAGGTTTTTCTAGGAGGTTCTAAGAGGGGTGTTTCCTTTGGGGTTCCAGGAATGTTTCTTGGGAGGTGTGTGAAAAAGGCAAGTGTTGCACAAACAGGGCGTGCAGCCAAAAAATCCGGGTTGAGGGGCCAACCACTTGATGGAGGGTCAATGTGGAAATGTACGAAGTGTTTGGGAGCACAAATATCTGGGATCTTGCACCAGTGGCCAAGGATAGCATTCAATGAGTTTGCTGCCTGCCTGGTGTGTTTCACCGCTGTTGCGACACAGCTCGGCTTTTGAGTTCGTGAGGCCAGGGGAATATGCTAAGGATACTCAAAAGGCAGAAAACGCCTTCCCAGTTGGTGTCTTCCTTTGGAGGTTGCGGAAACACTTGTAGAATAAATTTCGAAAGATCCGTCCATGGGTTGGTCGCGATGGTTCCATTGAGGTGCCCTTTTCCATCAAGCGGTGACCATCGGGAATCCACTTTTTTTGGAGGCTTGTTATATAAATGACAGCCAAAAAATAAACACACATTTCTTGGGTCCCCAATTTCAAGACACGTCCAAAAGTCACTAAACCAACTTGTGTCTTTTTCCCCAAAAATCAGTCGGAGTGCCTTAAAGCGGGCCTGACTTGGGCTCAAAACCCCCACCTTATGAAAATAGGCTTATCTCTAAATGGGAAGCCCCCGCAATGGTTGGCTTTCCGTTTTGATTTCCACTTCAAGCAAGCCAAGCATATCCTGAAAATGCGACAGACCCAAGCGACTGCTTTTTTGGTTTGCCTCGCGGTTCTCTGCGCGTCCGGTGCCCCTTGCTCGGACTCCGGTTGAGATCTTTCCGGGGGAACCGAAGGCCACCTGTGACACTTTCGGGGAGCCAGAGGAAACCCATGGGAAACCCACAATAAAACCCATGGGTTAGAGAGGAAGCCACCCCTGAGTCTGGTTTCCCACCTTTGGGCTAGAGATTTTCTTGTTGGGGAAACCAGAGGAAACTGTTGCCAGAGGGAAGAGTTTCAAGTTGATGGATCCATGTAGGCCTTCTGGGGGAAACCAGAAGGAAGCCGTTGCCAGAGGGAAGATTCTCATTTTGATAGACACATGTAGGTCAAGTCTTCTTATTGTTCGGCAACCATACAAAATCCTCTTCAGGCCTCAGTTGGGATAGATAATGCCGTATACACAGCGGGCATGTCTTCTTTCAGGGTGCCCCATGGTGGTTTTAAAAGGGAACCAAAGGTGAAACAACCCATTTTGAGGTTCCTCTAAAGAAAGGTAAAAGAAACACACCCACACCCAACGGTTGAGAATCACTTCGCAAGAGCCTTCTTTAAATGACTCAGGCCTTGGCTCTGGACCCGACGAAACACTTTACGAGAGCCAGTCTGTTCAACCACCCGAGATGGCTCCTAGGTCCCCCAGTAGTGCCCTTGTATCCTTTCGTGGGGGAGGGTTCCCCTACTAAAACAGACTACAGAAAAAAGGGCACCCTGATTCTAACCTCTCTACTCGAGGACATAGGCTCTGCATTTTAAGACTTGGAACCACCTGAAAAGTGGCCAGCGGACATGAATCCCAACCCAAAGGATGCCCATCAAAGGGATAGTAGAATTCACACTCATTTGATGTATTGCAACCTTGGATCTGCTCAAAGCAACACCAGCAACAAGAAGCGAAGTCCTGGGAAGTCGGCAAAGAACGAAGCCACGCCGGAGGCTCAAGAAGCTGAAGAAGCTGTTCCTCTCCTTCAACGAGCTGCGCGGGCCTCGGGGAGAAGCCGTGCATCCTGTGAACAAAACGTGAAGAAGCTTCTGCACGGGAAATATTGTGGATGGACGAAATCCTGCACCTAGAAAACCCTGGACTGACGATTTTCCTGTAAATACCAACGAACGTACTGGTTTCCTATGGTTTCATAGTGGTGCGGTCACGGATTTCGCAACCATCCACAGTATGGGGATGTCTTTCCAGTCGCGGAAAATTTTCGGGGTTGCAGAAGCTTTCCGTAACATCCTCCATGAGAAGGGGGGAGCCGAGGGCAACCGAAAGAAACCACTTTTTTACTCTTTGGAAGGGCCTTTGGCCCAGCCTTGGGCCCCTTGGTTGGATCCCAACCTGGCACGGATGAAAACCAGAGTAGAGCAGGGCTCCTGAAAAAAAAAGGATCTCCATTTTGCTTGCAACCAGTTGAAGCATGTTGCTGGCTTTTTCAAGACCGAACTAAAGTTGGAAGCCATCAGAACAAGCCAGTTGCAAGGTATTTTGTGGTGTTTTTCATGCATCCGGATGAATGAAGCTGAATGGCTGAGACCTGATCCCAAGCTAAATGGCTGAGACCTCATAGTGTGCACGAAATGTCGCCCTGACGGGATTTCTTTGCAAGGTCTGCAAGGTTTGAAGGGATGCTAAAAGAGGAAGCGACCCCTTTACCCCTTTTCCTGGGGTCCGAGTCCGTTTTTTATTGAGGCACACCTATGTGACTCATGGAATTCCCAAAGGACCACCTCTCAAAGATGGAATTATTTGAGCGGGTTGAACGCTGACCAAAACGAGCCCCGAAAAGGAGTTTCTTATTCTTGATGGGTGGCTTGGGGTGTCCTTTTTTGTTCAGGAGAGCCTTGGTCAAAGCACGCAAGAGTTGCCCGTGTCAGTGTTTTTGTCTTTGCAGAGCCCTGTGTGCTGTGGCGTGCGTGGACATTTCCTTGTGAATCAGCCGGTCTTCGAATGTACCTTTTGTTTGGAACCCGCGTCGCAGAGGCTTCACCAGCTGATGGGTTGATACCCCTCTGCACCCTTGGGAGCCGACCAACTCCACGAAAAGCGGTTCGGACCTCCGAAACTGGTGTTTTTTGTTTTCTTTTTTAGCGTCCTTGTATACACCCCCCCCCCCTCCCCCCACCAGGGTAGGCGAAGAAGACGTGACATGCCCATATATCCCAGCCCTGCGGTGACCAAAGGGAAACTATTCTCCCAAAAAGGCTGCCCTGCAGGAAAAGGAAAAAAAACAAACTTTTTTTGCACCTCGAAAAGGGTACCGAGCCTGCAAACCCGCCATTTGGTCCTGTTCGCAGGGTGGCCCTCCCGGCGAACATCGGCATCAGCGAGAACCTCGAGAAGCTTAGGATCACTTCGAACCAGATCAAGAGGCCGGGCTGTGTGGGTGCGCACTGCCCGGTTGCCATAGGTGTGCTTTGTGGTTGTTTTGGCAAAAGAATAGATGGCCCTGGTTTACCAGGTGGTTTACTCATCTACCAGGGCCATCTATTTCCCCCAAAAGGACACCTATGCCGGTTGCCCGCTGCCTGGGTTTGGGGTGAGGCTGTGAGATGGTGGAAACGCTATGGCAAGCAACCGTTCTGTAAGTGCTTGAGAACGCCAGATATGGAAAGTGCTTTGGGTTGTATGTAGAGTAACTCCTACCGATAACCACAACAAGCTCCTTTTGTAGTAGGTTGCACGTACTTGGGGTTGGTAGGGATGTTCGTTAACCTCTGCATAGGGGTGTTGGACAACCTTTCCTTGAAATGGATGCTGCCGGAAGGGGGGCTTTACTTGTGGTTTCGGATTACGGACCGACAAAATCAGGAAAAGGGGCGGTTTCCCAACAAACGGTGCACCGAACAGGGGTCGCACCATACAGAGACCACCCATACTGTCAGCTGCCTGCCGATGCCTCAAGTCTTTTGGTAGACATAAAATAGATGAAGAACATCTTGTACCAGGGGTGGACGAAGCTTTTTTTTGAATACTTGTTCATAAACCATGGTAGGGGAGGTCATTCACCTCCCAAGAGGTTTTTCTTCTTACAACCAATGTCAAGGTTCCTACTGTGGATGGACAAAATCCGTTTCGCACCACTTTGAACCATGGTGGAAACCATAACGTTTGTTGGTATTTAAAGGTGAATCATCAGAACCCAGGGTTTCTGAACGGTGGTGCGAAGTGGATTTCGTACCCATCCACAGTATGAAACCAGAACCAGGACCCCCTAAAAAAACTCCTTGGACTGGGTGGGGGACAAGTAGACCTCCAGATGTCGCTTCGGTTTTGCATCTTTTAGAGGAAAAAATAATACAAACACACATTATTCTGGGGGACACTTCCATTTCCATTCTTTCCAGGGATCCTTCTTTTCAGAAAACCATCAGAACCTCAGGGGAAACAGCTGGTTTTTGAGAAGAATGATGGTTGAAAAGAATGGGGAAGTAACCCCTAGAATTATACATCAGCCACCAACAATCAGCTACCAACAACCAACAACCACACATTTCAACAACAAAACAACTACCACACATCAACAAGAACATGTGCCCTTTTCCCATGGCCGCTGGAGGTTTGGGCTGAGCTCCCTTTACAAACCACCAGTGAGGGAGGGTTTCTTGGGGAACTCCATGCGGAACAGACGATTATTCCATCGTGCGTGGGCATGCGCGTTTTGTGCACATATATATATATATATAAATATCTTGATCATAAACACATCAGAACGAAAAAAGCGTTATTTACCCATCTTTTGCGAAAACTGGTGGGGTGGGTGGGTGCCTTCTTTTTTTTCTTCTTCCGGATGTGGAATGGGCGTACACTCCAAAAAGCGGGCCGTGCGAAACGCGGGTAGGCTGCCCTACTCGATCCTGGACCTCTGGAAGAAGGCGACGCCCCCCGGCAAACTCGAGGAGCCCTGGCCTCGGACTCCGCGGGCGTTTTGGTCTCGAGTCGAGAAACCGAGCGAGAAACCGACTCGGTGCGGGTTCTTTGGGGTTAAAGGAGCGAAAGTGAGAAAAGGGCGGCTTCCACTTGGGGATCCAAGTTGGGTTTTTGGTCGATTTGTTTCTTTTTGAGTAGGTTGGCACACGTTTGGTTTTAAAGGACAAACAAAAGGACAACCGCCTTGTTCTTTTGCTTTTTGTTGGGGGGGGGGAGGAAGGGGCTTGCCAAAGAAAGCCACACCCGGTTCTTGTTTTAGGTGTTGGACATATATGAAATTGGCAGACAGGATCCAAGGGAAGTGTAGAGTCCCTCGGGATTTTGGCGGTTCATGTGCTTAAACAGGGGGTTTCCCTCTTGGGGAGGGCCAAAAGGAACACCCGAAGCCATTTGGCGGGATCACTAACTTTTTGACACACATTTTCTTTTTTTAGGGGGAGTGGGGGGGACTTAACCTTTTGTTGTTTCTTTGCAACCATGCTCACTTTCGAGCATTTGCCGGCGAAACGCGGACGCCCTCTTTTTGCCAGCCCAAGTGTGCCGCTCCTTCTTGCCCCCCCCTTTTGCCCCCCCCCCCCCCTTTTTTGGCATCCCCCTTTTTGCCACCCCCCGAATCTGCCTCTTCCCCTTGTCGCTCTCCGTGTCGTCTGAGGCTGCTGGTGGACCGAAATCCCTTGCAGGTGCCCAGCATCACGGCCTTCGAGATGGTGGGCGCCGCTGGGACGAACCTGCGGGATTTGCCAGTTTTTTTTGCCATTTTTTTTGGCCAGATTGGCGTGGCTCCTTCTGTTGCCAGAGCTTCCCTTGGTACCTCCCGATGGCTTCTGGCGGGGAAAAAGGGCTTGGTCTACTGACGTAGCAAGGGACCCTCGGGGGTTGGATTTGTGCGCCCTTTCCTTGAACAGTCAAGGAAATGCAAAGGGCAGGGATGGATCCGGACGTGTGAACCTAACTCGCCGGTGCTTAGTAGGGAATGAGGGACTTCCCGAAAAAAGGAAGCTACAAGTTGGATGGTCTATATTGGGGTCATTCCATTTCTGATCCCTGCCTATCGCACCAACAATTCCTCGACTTAGTTAAAGTTACCTCACCATCTTGTCCGAAAGAAGGCAAGGATCTATTCTCCTTCTTTAGCAAGCTAAACCCCGAAGCGGAAGTTTCACTCGTGTTTTCCTCTTAATTTCACTTTAAACCCACAATCAAGCCCTAACCCCCCCAAACCCTTGGAACAAAACCGGCAGGTGGGTGGGTACACGGGTCTCCGGGTGTCTCCGGGTGTCCGTCTCCTAGGGTGCTGGTGGCATGGACCGCGCCTTTCATTTGCTCCAGGCGCAGACGTCGGAAGGGGGGGGGGGTTGGGGAGGTTTTGGCACCCCGGCACTCGCTTGATTTCTAATGTTGGATCTTTGGACTTTCACTTTTTGGGGGAATGAAGGAGTTTCCCACTAACCCCACAAAAAGTGATCAACTTTTTGCAGAGTTGTCAACAGCAACAAAGATCAAAGGGACGGATTTTCTTGGGAATGAGACATGGAGTCTGAAGATAAACCGTCCCTTGCTGGTGGTTTCCTTTGAGGCGATACCCTACTTATCGCAGCAGCAAGTTTTGGGCGTCTTTCTTTTGCGGGAACCCGTTTCTGGGCGGCTTTGAAGGGAAGCCCGAAAAAAGGCTGTTGCGGCATGTTGGGGGTCCCCCCGAAAAAGACACTTGGTGGCTCCCAGCCGTCCGGCTCCTTGGTTTTTTTAAAGCCTTTTGGTGGTGTTTAGTGGTAGTTTCCATTTAACCCACTAAAAGTTAAAACTTTCAGCCGAGGATCTGAGGGCAGCCCAATCAGATTTTGCCAAAGGTCGCTGGATTTCCCCAACTCAAAAGTTGATGAATTTACTGGCGGGTTCCATTGGAGCGATCGCCACTTTTCAGAGGCTCCAAATCGGGAAATGGCTGTGGGTCCAAACCCTGTACCCCTGGTGAACATCCCAATCCCCACGAAAATAGACTAATGGGTGGTGCACCTACCCCAAAATGGTGCCATTGGATGTGACCCACAGCCAAATGGAGGACACCCTCTTTGCAAGGTTTTTTTTTTTTTTTTTTTTTTTTTTTTTTTTTTTTTTTAAGGTTATCACATCTTTCAGGAGGGCCAGTAAACATCAGCTGCGAGTGCACGGGTCTACATGGTTACCATTTGGAAACGTGGTTGCTTTGAAATATTCACTTTTCGAAATGAAGGCGATCCTTTGGAGTCGGGGGTCGAAGGTGGTTTTTGTTTTTCCGGGCACAGCGGCCCCCTGTCCACCACGTTACACTGGTGGCAGGAGTGGGCGGAAGGCAAAAAGGCAGTGTGCCAATGGGGAGGGAAAGCTTTGCGCAGAGGAAGAGACACGCACTTGGTTTCATCCCCAAATCAGTAGTTCTCTCCAACACGGGCGCCTTTGGGTTTTCCCTGATCCCAGAAAGGGTACCCTCAACAAAACACAGTTGGGAGAGATGCGATTTTTGTCAGGAGGATAAGGCGGAGTCTTTGACACAAAAGCGGCGGGCTGAGCAGGGGCGCTCGTTTCTTGGGAGGTTGGGCTTCCTTTGCCCCATTCGGTCGCCTTATGGAAAGCAAACGAAGGTTGTTGAATCAACGCGTGTTCATGCGTACACTCAGTAGTGGCCATGGTTGAAAGAAGGTTCATGTTTCCATGTTGACATAGTGTGGGTTATCATGTTTCCATGCTGACAGAGTGTCATACTTTTTGCTCCTGGCATTTACGGCTTGTCATCGCTCCAGGTTGGGAGGGGCTGGTTTGATTCCATCATCCACCCCGCCGAAGGAGCGTCAACCCTTTGAGTCCTGGATTGTGTCGGGTGTCGGGTGGGGGTCGGGGGGGTGGTTCGTGGGTGTGGGCGCGGGCGCGGGCGCGGGTGGGGGTGGCTGGTGGATTCAAGAGGAGATCTATCGCAAAGAAAGGGGCATGAGCGGTGGGTTGATTCCCCTTTCACTCAGCTGTGTTACTTTTCTCTCCCGCACGGCGCCCGAAACAACTAGGTGTTCAAGGGCGTCATTTGGATTTGTCTCCGAATTGACTTGCGCTTCCCAAAATGGGCTTTGGTTGCCTTGCTTGTTTTTTTCCGTTGAGAGAAACCAAGCCCAAAACATCCGCAGGGAAGACCCCATTAAAACGACCGGGTTCTTCTTAGTTCGCGGGTCATGAGTTGCTTAAGGAAATTGGATGCCCAACCGTTGAAGTCAGTCAAGTCAAGTCCCCCAATCTGGGACTGGGCAAGTGCGAGGGGACTTACGAAATGCGAGAACCAACTCGCAAGACTTCGTAGGAGCTGCACCAATTGTCCTACTTCAAAAAGGGTAAGAGGAGCGCTGTCATGGTTTAGTCAGACCAAAAATGTTTGCCAGACTTTGGCCGCATCACCAGAACTTTTTGGTCTTGACTAAACCAGACTTGCGCCAGTTCTAGTCATGGTTTAGGCATCACCAGAACTTTCACCGCGCCTTCTTGGTCGGATGAACCGCTCTTGCGTGGAACGCCTCAGTGGGTCCCTTCAAGTCTCATGGGAACCCTTTGAAAGACCCCCCAAATACATAATCCGCCCGGGGGGCAGACTAAAGTGGACCAACACTGGAGATGTTTGGGCGCCAAACTTTGAACGAAATCGTCCTTGGGTCTTCTTGTCAGGTCTTACATTCACCCAACAAACGGTCCGGCCGGGTCGCAAAAGATGTTTGCATGTTTTTTACCGGAGGTTTTTGAATGGAGCACCACAAAGAAAACAGATTCCGCTCATGGGAGGGTCCTGAATCTCGAGACGAGGGGATGGGAGATGCTGAAGGGCACATCTTGGCTTTGGACCTCAAGATGAACCAGGTGGAAGAACCTTAAAGCGATATCAAGGTGTGGAACCCATTTTGGCAATTCATTTTTATGGAGGAACCCCTCACAAGTGCTTGGTGGACATGAAATCACCACCTTTATTTGCCACCAAAACATCCCCAGCAAAAAACACAAAATCCCACCCATTTGGGTTCTCCCAACTTAAGGCAGGAGGTGCTGGGGATTTTTTGGGGCGCCCTTTGCCTTTGCGAGGGCGCAGCCTGCGCTGGAGGAGCGTGAGGCGTTGGAAAGGGGTCTGCGTGAAGGTCCGTTGTTTGGCCCATTTCCAGCTTGGGAGTACTCCTTCTGGATACCTCAGAGTTTTTCGGGCGCCCGCCGAAAAACATGGATCGCTTCCAATTTTCTTGCTGGTGCCTATCGCCAGGGAATGAGGACATGCCCCCCCTACCCCCTATCAAACATCCCCTATGGTTTCCTTCAGGATTTTTTTAACCCCCTCTGAAACCATCCTATGGTTTCCTTCAGGAATTGCCAGGCTCCTTCCCTTCATTCCCTGCCTATCGCCCCAGCCAGCGCTCGCTCCCCCGGAGGCCACGCCGCAGCTCGCCCTCCCGGCGCCGGCAGTCCAGGCGACCCGAATGGGCCATGGGTGGCATAACGGGCGTGGCTCAAACTTGGAGACCTACTGTGGATGGACGAAATCCTGCACCACCTAAGATACCCTGGAATGATGATTCACTTGTGAATACCAACAAACAATGGTTTTCATGGTTTGTTAGATGGTGCAGGATTTCGTCCATCCACAGTAGGGTTACGCAGGTTTAGCGTTCGTGTCCCTTTGGCAAGGTGCAGTTGTCGTAGATGATTTGGAGCCACAGGGCGAGCCATTTTGGGGTGGAACATGGATCCATTTGCCACCTATTGTTGAGGTTCACCAAAAGTACAGGGTTTTGACCCACAGCCAAAGGGGTGCTCAAAAGTTTAGGAGTCAAGCGGACCGCAGGTTTGAGTCTGCTTCATCTACCAGGGTAAAACATTTACCATTTGGATTTTTGGGCGACCCCAATGGGTGTGGCGAGGAAAGTTGAAGAGCCGGAATGTGGATCGCAGGTTTGAGTACTGGTTTCCATTTACAAGGGCAAACCATCTTGGTTGCTGATTCCAATTTCCGAGCCCATACCCGAGCTGGTGTTGGTGGATCTTCCGGAGGAACACCAGCACATTGACATGAGTTTGTGTCTTTTGAGGGTTCCCCTTTTCTGGCGGTGGGTTTGAGCGAAAAGGAGAACCGAAGTCAACATTTTGTTTTGGGTTCACGAAAGCCCACGGAGCCTTAAGGCACGCTTTCAAAGGCCGTGCAGATACGTTTTTTAGACGCTGCATGGTGTGTCTGTTTTGGTTGGACCCAGTGTGGTGGTTTTTCTTTTGGTTTCCCTTTACCACCAAAAAAGGGTACCAGCGGAAGAGTCTTCCACCCATGTGGGGGCTGCGACAAAAATTGCCACCCAGGTGCCCTTTGCCATTGAGCCGGGTTGGGAATGAACCGGAAGGGGTCTCTCTTGAAGGAAAGCATAGGGGATGGTTTGTAGGGGTCACTCCCTCATTCCCTGCTATTGTTTGGCTTCCCATTGGTATGCAAATGCCGTACAAAGCGTCCAGCACTCGCCGATCGGCGCAGATTGGTCCGTCCACATGGATGTTTTTGCTACTGTGGATGGACAACGTGATGCACCACCTTTCAGAAACCCAAATTTTGTGAGGATTGCCCTGTAAATACCAAAAATATGGTTTCAACCATAGTTTCTTCGGCGGCGCGGAATGAAGATCGCCCATCCACAGCATTGAGGGTAACCTGTGGGGTGTGTTACCAGAAACCGAACACCGAATCCCTTTGTTCGAGTCTCTTCATGGGTCTCATCTCAAATGGCAAAACTCTTGGATGGTTTTTTACAGGGAAATCCCCTGGAAACCACCTGGACCCTCCTCTCCTGGAATTTCACGAGAAACACCTACAAACAAACACCACCTGGGCTCCAACCATTGTTTGGAGAAGCTCCCATCTGGCTGTGGCTCAAAAAACCGGTACCAAAATGGAACCCTGGCAAGTGGAAACATGGACCAAAACCTGCGTAACCCCTCCTGTTTAATTTTGAGCCACACCCATCTTTTGCTGTTGGTGACTTTTTTTTGCACCAAACTAAAGAGGATATGACATCTCTCTGTTGCCCAGTGGCGCTTTTTTTTCTTCTTTTCTTTTTTGTGTAAGGGTAGTCAGAGCATGGCATTGGATCACCGATGCGCCAACAGCAAGGCGTTAAAAGGGCCACTGGGCATCTGAGGGATGGAAAGGGCCCTGGTGCCATGGTCCAAACATTTTGTTTTCTTCTTTTTTTCTTGGGGCTAGGGGTGAATGGACCAAATCCACTTGGCCACTGGGCATCTGCGATCTAGTGGCACACGGCTCGAAATTCAAGAGCTAGGGCAAGCCGCAGGTTTTTTAGTCTACCTTTCCATTTACCAAGGGGCCATGTTGGGTACAAATTTTTCTGAGCCGCAGCCAGAGCTAGTGGAACACAGACACTGCCTGCCTCCTCGAGCCAGGCTCCACAGTCCGTGACGCACCAGTCGCCTCGGGAGGAAACGGGGGGGGGGGGGAAGGATCGTGGGCGCCTGGGTGCTTGGGGGTCAGATTTGGCCGGTGAAATCCAATGGGACCATTTTGGGGTAGGCTTTTGACCCAGCCATTTGGTGTCCCTGGTACCTCTCAACTCTCAACATGGGAACCAAGAGGAGGCTGTTTGAACAATACGTAATATGCCTCAAAAATTGTGATTTGGAGTGGATTTCGGTTTCCCTTTGGTCTCCTTTGAGACCAACCTGCAAAGGGCACCCTCAAGATCTGGGCAAGTCGCGAGTTCAACTTAGTGTTTTTTCGGGACTTGATTTGGGGGATTTGGTTTGAAGGAAAAACAAGAGAGGGAGAGAAACAGCGAAGGCGCGTGAGCCAAGCAGAGCTCCGCACCCGTGTGGGTGATTGAAGTCGTTTCCCTTGAGCGCATCCAAGACACCCTGACTTTTTGGTTTGAACTGGTTTGAAGCCCTGGTTCTTACAGCCGGTTCAGCTCCCTACCACCAATCATCATCAATCCAAACCAGGGTTGTGTTTGGGAGTGACCATTATAAATAAAATAAAAACATGGCATGGATCCCAAACCACCAAGAGGGAAGCATAACAGTGCAAGCAGATCCTGACTTAGGCATGCCAGATATCCAGTTTGTGGACTTCTTTCTTGGCCCAGAATCATTCTCCACAGCCATGTTCAGGTTCTGGATGTGAGGCGTGGAGGTAAACCAGGGATTCATACTGCCTTAGTCACCACCAAGCCTACGCCCCAATGCAGAAGCTGATCGTATGGATGAGGGCGCAGTGGATTCCTTTGGGCAAAATTGGACTAAACAAGACCCTGGAACCTCTGAAAACTTGGTATGTGTCAAGATTGTGTTTTGCACCTTCCACGGATTTCGGTTTTCCCCGTCTCCTTTTAGACCAGCCTAACAAAAAGGGTAGCCTCGAAAGAAACGACACCCGTGTGGTGTACCGTTAACACGGCCACCAAAATGTCATGGGGGCTGGGGGGGCGAGGAACCCCCAGATAAGCCCAAAATTCGGCCTTAATAAGGCCTTAATAAGGGCAAATAAGGGCTCCCTCCCTCCCTCCCTCCCAGCCCCCATGAAAATGGTAGCGAGGCTCCAACAAAACCGGGGGGCTGCGGGGGTGCTGCACTTAGGACGAGCTGAGCGGCGAAGACCCCTGGTATTTCGGGCACCTCGCGAACGACAAGGAGAGTTCGCAGAAGGGGCAGAAGTGTGACAGAAACCAACTTTAACTTTTTGCCAACTAATGGGTTTTCTGTCCGACATGTCGAGTGCAGGGATTGTTCGAGGGGTGCCAGGTTAGTACCAACTACTGTGCTTTGGTGCATTTTGCTTGGCTGTTAGGACTTTAACTTTTTGCCAACAAATGGGTTTTCCATTAAACTTAACCACTAATGGTACCCTTTTCTTTGGTGTATTTTGCTTGGATGTCAGGACTTTAACTTTTTGCCAACGAATGGGTTTTCCGTATTAAACCACTAAAAGTGAAACACTTTTAGCAGGGGAGCAGAAAGCAACCGAGAACTAAAACCGCACGCGTTTTGTTTGAGTACGTGCGGAAGCGGGCGAGTCTCTCTTTGGCCTTGTTTTTCTGTGTCAAGCAAGATGAAGATGGGTAACTTTGTACCAACACAAACCCAGTTAGGTTTTCCCATAGAAGGGCCCTCAGATTGGCTTTTGCCTGTCCACCGACCATACAAGGGGAAAGGGCCTGGTGCTTTGCGCGCTTTTGGGTTCCCCGTGTTCTTACAGCACCCCACGCTTTCGCGGCCGGTTCCAAGCAACTTTCTTTTTCTTTCTCTTGTGATCTCAGCGGCATGGCAAAGCTGTGGAGGCAAGAGTTTGCAGCCAACAGATCAGAGATTGTTTCAAGGATAGGGCGTTTCGAGAGCAAACTTTGGACATTTGGGGACTGGATGGAAAGGCCGAAATGCCGTGCCCAAACACCTTTTTTACTTGGGGCTGGGGGTGAATGGACAATATCCACTTCACACCAGCAGCTGAGATGGATGAACCCAGAAACCCCCAATCCCAACTGGTGCAGGATTGCATCCATCCACAGTAGGGGTGGGCATGAATCCCTGAATATTCTTGTTTAAGACAACCGTCACAACAGTTCCTTCTACTAGGAACCACGACCATGGCTCAAATGGGTTCCCCAATTTTGAGACAGACCCAAACAATTACACACCGTATTGCTCCCATTCACAAGACCAGATTTGGATTTAACGTTTCCCCCTCGAATGATTGCGCCCCTTTGATTGAGTTGGCCAAGGCAACCATTTACAACCATGAAAACCATGACCAAGCGTAAAGGTGCCGTTCGTTAGGAGGCTTACTTCACCGGAAGGGACAGGCGACCAAGAGTTGTTTGGTGCCTGAATGATCAGGTGGCGGTGGGTGTGTCCTGCTTTTCGAGGGTACCAACCCTTTTGGTTGGTTTTGAAGGGATACTAGAAGGGTCCGATTCCCAACAAAAAGGACACGCCCAGTTGGGGAGAGGGGCCGCTTAGTTTGTTGGGGGCTGCATTTGGGTAACTTTTGGGAAGTGGTTGGTTGGTGAAGTGGTTGGTTGGTGAAGTCGTTGGTTGGGTTTGTTTGTTTGTTTGTTTGTTTGTTTGTTTGTTTGTTTGTGTTTGTTTGTTTGTTTGTTTGTTTGTTTGTTTGTTTGTTTGTTTTTGATTGTTTTTGATTGTTTGTTTTTGTTTGTTTGTTTGGATAGTTGGTTGGCAAAACGAGAAGCCATTTCAACCCACGTCTGTGGCCAGCAAGTTGAGGGGCACGTCTCCTGGCTTCTTCGCGAGCGATAGGCGAAGATCATGGAGATCCGGGAGGCGGAGCAGCACTTCCTGGTGAGGAAGCGGCCGGGGATCCCGAACACGAGCGGTTCCGGGCACGAGACGGGGCGAGCGAGCCAAGCGCCGGCGCCGGTGTGCTCTCTGTGTGCTTTGAAGAGCACCTCAGACGAGTTTGGTGGCAAATTTATCAAGTTCCGGCCAATCCACTTTTCTTTTCTCCCTTTTCTCCCTTTTCTTTATTTCTCCACTTTATTTATCAAGTTGTTTTCTCCCTTTTCTTCTTTTTTCCCGGCCAATCCACTTCGGAAGCGAGGAAGTGACCTGTCTTGGTTCGGGTTCTGGGACCCACACGGCGTGGAAAGCGGGTGTTCGGGACTGAAAGGAAGCCAGAGATGGGCTTCCATCGTTGGCCATTCAAAACCAATGGGATCCCATTTTGTGATAGGTGCACCATCTATTTTAGTGGTTGGATTGGGACGTTCACTGGGACGATTCGGGTTTTGACCCATGGCCAATTGAATCCGGACCCAAGGTAAGGGTCCCGCGGCATAGCTCATATTGTCAGTTGCTGATGTCACGTAGACATAGACCTGTGTCCAGAGCCGGTTGAATCGCCCCAGCCGGACACATATTGCAAGTTAACCACTTGCAAGAGTTTCCATGCAAATGATGCAGGTGATTCTGTGGATGTGACAAAATGCCGCTCCACTTTGAAACCATGGTGGTGTCTAACGTTTGTTGGCCTATACAGGGGAATCAAATCCTTCCAGGGTCTCTGAACGGTGGTGCGGGGAGATTTCCACGCCACGTTTCATTTTCTCGGTAAGGTCAGTTGGCGTTGGCATCTTCAACCCTCCCCCCCCCCCCCAAAGGTAGGCTCACTCTCAGTCCTGCTTTGGCAGACCTTGGCAGAGTTTGGACCTGTTTTATCTCTACATGAGGATGAAGACATGGCCTGCAGGGGGTCACAGGGGCATGTTTTGGCCCATCCTCCGTTCCTTCCCTTTGGGACAACGGGTTGATCGCCGAACCCCAGGCACGCGTTCCTGGCAGTTCAAAGGAAGCTGGCCAAGGCCCAGGGCTGGTTTCCGAAAGGATGGTTTCAGTGGGTGGTTGCGAAATCCCTTTCGCACCACGAAATGAAACCATGGTTGAAACCATTAGTTTGTTTGTATTTACAGGGGAATCATCATTCCAGGGTTTCTTCGGTGGTGCAGGATTTCGTCCCATCCACAGTAGTTTCAAGAGTTAGTTTCTTAGTTCCTTGGGTAGCCGAAATGGTCTCTCACGCCTTTGCCCGGATTAGTGAAGGGTAGGCTCACTTTGTCACATACTGTGGATGGTTACGAAATCCATCTCGCACCACCTAAGAATCTCCAGAAGGATGAATCCCCTGTGCATACCAGCAAACACTGGTTTCTGGTGGTTTGAAAGTGGTGCAGGATTCCGTCCATCCACAGTAGCTTCAAGAGTCAGGCCACTTGGAGCAGGGAAAGCACTTGCCGTGGAGGGTAATTGGATGGAAGAAGCTTTTGCGGGGTTCTGGCTTTCATGGTAAACTAGAGGGACGGTCACTTTCATGGACCCAAGCCAACTGGGCTGGATGACCATCTAGGCACCTGCCCGATTTCCGAGGGCTCTAAAAATCCCGTTGTGAATGATAGTCCCTCCATCCAGATGCCCGCAGTTTTTGTGCGGTGTGAATCACTTGTCGAACAACCAACTAGGTCCCCCAGTAGTGCCCTTTGACCTTTTTTTTTTGGGGAGGGTTCCCCTACCATAGACAAAAGTTGGTACCCTTATTCTAACCTCTCTGCTGGAGGACCAAGAGCCTTTTTTTCTTCTTTGTTTTTTTTCTTCTTTTCGCGCAGGGCTTTCACAAGTACGCACGAAGGTGGGTGTCTCGAGTAGACTCAGAGGCCTCGCGGCTCTCCGCCTCGGGGCCGAATGGCGTCCAACAGTCAAAAACCGCACCACAAGGACCCCCTAACGGCAAAGGCGGCTTCATTTACCAGGGTTCCATTTTGGGTACCCATTTTTGACCCACAGCCAAATGAGTTTTTTTTTTGTTTAATAATACGGTTAGTTTGATTAGACATAGATGGGTTCCACTGGTTTAGATGGGTTTCATTCCATTTGCCAGGGAAACCCATCTATTTTTCCATCAGGCCATGGGCGGCTTGATTTCAGGCAAGCCTGAATCCTTAGTTGGTGTTTGGCGGCTTGGGGAGTTGAACCCCTGTTAACCACCAAACCACCAACTAGCGGGAAGCTGAGATCATTCGGTCGGACTTTTCTGCGAGTGAATGGCAGGAAACCAGCAAAATTGGTTCCCCCAGATTCCGCGCAGAATCGACAGTCCTGAGTTCGGTCAAGTTATTGGAAGTCCATGACTAAGTTGGAAACGGCCTGGGGGAAACGCACGATTTGTTTCCAGCCAATATTTCCAGCGTTCTATGGTCCATTTGGGATACCTTCTTTGGGCATACCAAGCCACCAAGACCAAAGCTTGGATTGGAAAGCGATGAAGACGAATGGACATGGCGCCTGATCCATATTTTCATGATCCCCCAAATGTCATGGGCTCGTCTGACGAGGTTCCGTTTGGACTTTTTCCCCGCGAATCGGCTCGTCAGGACGAGCAAGAGGCAAGACAGCAAGTCTCAGAGCACATGCAGGCGCCGGCGCCGGTGAGACTTGCGGTGATGCGAGGTGAGAGGTGTTCGGCCAAGTTGCCCTCCCACCCTTTTCATGTGGAACCTGACTCTCGGGACAAAAGGTCCCTTTAGAGGAACATGATCTTCCAGGACTTTCCCGAACGTCAGTTTCATGAGTTGGCGGGAGGGTAGTAAGTGGTTGGATCGCCCTTTCACCCCCCCAAATAGCAAGGTCTAACCCCACTTGGTGGGACGAAAATAAGTGAGCTATAACCTAGGATACTGTGGATGGACGAAATCCTGCACCACCTCAGAGACCCTGGAATGATGATTCCCCTGTAAATACCAGCCAACAATGGTTTCCCATGGTTTCCAACTGGTGCAGGAATTCGTTCATCCACAATATCTCTGGTGACCTCCACTTGGAAATAAGTTTCACCGCCTCATGCTGAGCCCAGATGAATCAACCCCAGTCTTTTTTCATAGGGGGGCCCCCTCCAAAAGTGGTCAGATTCCCCACTAAACCCAGCAACACCAACATTAATCACAAGGTTAACCGTCATTTCGGGGGGGGGGGGGTAGGGGGACGAAAATAAGTGGGCTATACCGTTGGAACTTACTAGCTTGGCGAATCGAACACCCAAGTGCCGCTTCCCGTGTGAAACAGGCGAGGTTGGACCCAGGAATAGGCTTTGCTTGTTTGACTAATTGGTGGGCGTCCTATTCTATTTTGGGTGAGAATCCTTCACTTTAAGGGCAAATGTCAATTGTTCCCCTTCCAAAATACAGTTGTCAATCCGGGGTCAAGATTCGGTGGTTTGGAGTGCAAATATGGGTGCGTGTCTTTTTTTAGGGTCCCCCAAAATGGTGGTTCTCCCTTTGGTTTCCCTTCAGAAAAACCCATATGTAGGACCAAAACAACCATCTTGAATTCCTCCAGTTTTTGTACAAATTGGATATGGAACTCTCCGGAAAATGGCTGGGTCTTCCCTTGGGTTTTCATTGACCATGACTCCAAAAAGGTTCCCCGCCTCAAAACTAGACCCATATGATGTTGGGAAAAGCTTCGATTACGGGTGGCTCGGTTTTTTTGGGCTCAGCGCCCTTTTTGGGTTGCTGCGAAGGGACGCTAAAAGGAATCCAATTCGTTTTGAAGAGGTCCCCCTATTCTGACGCATACCCCTATGAACCATCCCCGGCAGCTCACCGAACAGTGGCGGCGGTTGCTTAATCAGCGGCCCCCCAAAGACTAGGAAGCGCAAGCCCCACCCACGTCCAAGAACAGTTCCACCCTTTGAAGGGGTCAGTTTGACTGAACCAGGCGACCTCGCCGACGTTTAGATTCAGCCTTGGCTTTTCTTGAGGGAAGTTGACCAAGGGCCAATGCTTTGAACCCACAAGCTGAAAGCGGCGGGCGGAACCAAATAAAACAAGACGGGGGAAAATGTGCACCGGCCACTTTTTGCTTGGGTCAGCGGGTCTTGTTGGTTTGCCCACCCTACTTTGCAGGCCATCAAAAAGCAATAATCACACATGGACCCTGAGTGTCCACCATGCTCTTGAGGCTTTTTTTTTGGGGGACCCCCCACAATTGTGGTTTTCGTGGTGGTGTTGCTTATGATTTTCCCTTAAAGCCAGATCAACAAAAGACACAGCCAGTGGGGTGTAGGCCCCTAAGGAAAGGAGCCGTCAGGTCTTTTTGGACGAGAAGAGCTACACCAAGTACAGCGGCAGGGTGAAGACACAGGAGTCACCCGAGCGATCACGGGCTTCGGTTTCCAAGAGCGCACTATCCCCAAAAAGAACAATTTTCCGCCTGAGACCTTCTGGGGCCTTCCGGAGATCCAGGCTCGGTGTCTTTGTTCGGGTGACTTCCGGGCAGAGCGTTGGAAAGCCGGAGGTCTGAGCGAGGAGCGGTGGGCGATTCTCGCTTTGAATCCACGAATCCCTAAAAATTCCTTGCCCCGTACTGTGGATGGACACGAAATCCAGTTCGCACCACCTAAGAAACCCGGGTTTCTGAGGATTCACCTGTAAATCCCAACGAACAATGGTTTCCCATGGTTTCAAAGTCACCACTTTGAAAGCCATGGTTGGAACCATGGTACGTTTGTTGGCATTGACGGGTGAATCATTTGTTGGGTTTCCTAGGTTGTGCGAAATGGATTTCGCAACCATCCACAGTAGGTGTCCTTTTTGGTGGCTTTGCTAGAAAGATAGGCGATTCCTGGTTTACCTGGTGGTTTTTGCTCATCTACCAGGGCCGTGAATATTTTCCAAAAGGGGCACCTATGTTCAACCCCCACGAAAAGAATGGTTGTATAAACTCCCATTGTTTTAATGGTGGTTTGAACCCCAGGGTACTGTGAATGAAAAATTCTGCACCAGTTGGATCCGGCAAAAAGCTGGCTGAGGGCTTTGAGCTGAGCACCTCCCCTTTCTCCCGCACGTCCACGTTTGCTTGGAAGTGCTTTCCATCTGTTGCGGCAGGCACGAAGTGTTTGGCGACTTGGGGCCAATTTCTGAACACGCTTGTTTGAATTCGCGCAACAAAAGCAGCTCAACAAACACTTGTTTCACCCAAAACACAAAACCTCAAGCAACTCAGTTGGTGGTTTAGCTTCGGATTTGAATCCCTGGCTCTAGAGGGTGAATGGGGTTTACCCCTCCTGACCTGAACCCAAACCACCGATTCGGATCCAAACCACAAAACGATCTTCTCGTGAAACGCGGGCAGCGCCTTTGGGCGGACGGATCGAGGACAGCGACCACTTCTTCATCCTCTTCATCTTCGCGGCGAAGCCCGCCTACAAATCCGCCCACGCCTGGTTCGAGCGCTTCGCGGGGCCCAAGGGCTACATGACCAAGAGCGAGTGGTACGAGCCGGGGGCCTCGGTTGAAGATGCCTCCAGAGGCGCCTCTGGATGGCCCCCCCTGAGTGTACATGGTGGCGAACTCCATCCAAGACACCACCGTTCCGAAACCCGGGTTTCTGATGATTTATTTAGAACAACCAACAACACAATGGTTTCAACCACGGTTTCAAAGTGGTGCGAACGGAGTTCGGGCTTTCCTTGTGGCTGCCAAACGATGGCCACTCTTGACGATTTCGGAGGTATTTTTTTGAGGTTGGGTTAGGGGAACCACATGGATGGGCACTTTGTATGGATATGTACCCTTTCGTTGGTTAGGGAAACCACGACCAGAGGCCGGTGTGTTTTTTGAGGCTCCGTACCCATTTTTTGGGGTGGAAAAAAAGGGGAGCCAAAGGAGAGCTCATCCATTTTGGGGGTCCCCTAAAAATGAGACACGCAACATGAGGGCCACAGTGCGGAGGAATCCCGGCAGGCATGAGACCACTTCACAGCAAAGGGGGGAGCCACCAATAGCGGGGTCTTTTGGATAAATCCGAAGGTGACACTGTTGAGTTGGGGTTCATCATGGATCAGCAAAAGAAAGGAGCCACTCCGAAAGTCCAAAAACCCCCCCAACCCCCCCAACCCCCCCAACCCCCCCAACCCCCAACCCCCCCAACCCCCCCAACCCCCCCAACCCCCCCAACCCCCTCAACCCCCCCAACCCCCCCAACCCCCCCCCCAACCCCCCCAACCCCCCCAACCACCCCCCCAACCCCCCCCCAACCCCCCCCCCCAACCCCCCCCCCCAACCCCCCCCAACCCCCCCCCCCCCAACCCCCCCAACCCCCCCCCCAACCCCCCCAACCCCCCCCCCCCCCCCCCCAACCCCCCCAACCCCCCCCCCCAACCCCCCCAACCCCCCCAACCCCCCGGTTTCTTGGAGAGAGATGCAACCCAGGCTTTGCCTGAACTCGCCGCTGGACGTGCGCCAGAAGGGCCAGGAGGGACTCGTCCGAGTTGATTCGTGAGTCTTGGGCGATGTTTAGAGAGGACGCCCGGACCTTGGGTGTGTGGAAGCCGAAAGGACACCCGTTTTGGGGTTCAAATCCCTATTTTTACAAGGAAACCGAAAGGACACCCATTTTGGGGTCCGAATCTCTATTTTGATACTTGCCCGTTTTCGGGATGTGAGAGAAGCACGTGGCGTCTCCCGGCATTCACTCCGAATGCACCCGCAGGGGTTCTCCGTGCAATTGGTTAAAAGAGAAGCAGGTTCCAATTGCTTGCACAGGACAAACACTAGGCCCATGTACCAGTTCGTCCGTGAGCTGGAGGGCAAGCCCTGGCGCCCTCCAGTGGTTAGCAGTGCTCCCCCAGTAGTGCCCATTTACTCTTTTTTTTGGAGGTTTCCCCACCCTTATTCAAACCTCTCCATACTGGAGGATCTAGAACATGTCTTGTTTGTTTCACCTTCGATTTCAGGACTAGAACCCGTTCAACAGGTCACCCAACTGGCGACCTTCCATGCATTTGTTTTCCCAGCTTGAGCCTAGAAATTGGGAGGTCGGAGCCAGGGATGTCGGATCACTCGGGGTTGATCCAACCACTTCTGTGATATCGGGAATGCCCTCTTTATATGGCTGGACTGCTAATGGGTTGGATCTGTAGACTTTAACTTTTTGGGAAAAAGGGGTTTTCCACTAAACCCACAAAAAGTGATAAACTTTTTGCAGAGGGGTCAACAGCAACAAAGATGGGGGGTTAGTCTTTGGGAGGCCTTGTTTGCTGTATCATAGTGGTTATTTCCCACAGCTCTGGTCGAACCGTTCGAGGAAGACTCCTTTGTTCCCAGCCCTTTGCTTGGGGTTCGGGCTGGTCATGCGTCCTTCACCAGGGTTTTGGACCAAGAAAATTCTGAAGGGAGCCTTGACCACGGGACCTACATTTTGGGTATCTTTTTTAGGGGTCGCGGACCCCCCCCAAAATGTGTTTGTTCTTTTGTTTTCCCACCACAAACATGGGGTACCGAACCCTAAATTGTTTTTGTTCCACAAGAATGGGTATCGGACCCCCCCGCAAAATATATAAAATAGTAATAAGGTGTTATTTTCTTCTGGTTCCCCTTGAAACCCCACAAATCGGCTCCTTTCAAGAACCGACCACCGCCTCCGCCGCGCTTCGCGTGCCGCTTGCCACTCCGCTAGGACGACTTGTGGGCCACGCTCTTCGACCCGGCGGTGAACCCCAAGGGCCTTACGGAGGCCGGTGGCTCGGGGCGCGCTGTGGTTGCGAACTCCGTTCGCGCGGTGAAAGCATGGGGACAAAAAGCCATGGGCTTGTCGTTGTTTGCGGGGGAAGTCTCAGAAACCCGGGTTTCTGAATGGTGGTGCGGTGGATGGATTTCGCAACCATCCACAGCATGTCCAACCGGGGTTTCACTAGATCCCCCGAAATGGGGCTTTTGGCTTTCCTTTTGGTTCCCTTTCAAAGTTACAAGGGGTACTTGTTGATAGGTAATGGCATACCGACATGATACTGGCTCAAGAAAATTGACTGCCGCCCGTGCTGACTTTTAGGTAGATCCCACCTTTCAACAGGTTATCAGCCGTATCGCTGGTACCTTGTACAGTCAGCTCTCACCCGCGCCGCAATGGCGTCAAGCGGCGACGGATGCCACCCTGCCATAGCAAGGATGAACGAAGCAGTGGCCAACGAATTGATCAAGGGTGGGCATCCGGAAGGGAAACCGCCATGCAATCCGTCACAGCGCTCCCGAAGCAGTTTTCCTGAGTCCGACCAAGGCGATGCGCTTGTGCCCATCACTTCGGTCGTCCAACCGGAGGATTCAATGGGAAGCGGAGGGGAACCTCTCGCCGGACATCAACGTGGGCAAGAGATGCACGCGCGCGTGACTAAGAATGAGACTCACCTTCATCAACATCATGTGAGCGCCCCGAACATATATCAACATAGCCAGACGGTAAATGTGGTCAACACAGGTCCGAGTACGGAGGAAGTGGCTGCCTATGCTTCGGCACGCCACGACGCCATCATCAATCAGCTCCAAGCAGGCCATGTTGAGGAAAAAGGCCGACTCTATCAGGACGCGGTGAACCACATCAATGTATGCCAACAAGAGGCAATGGCGAAGGAAAGAGAGTTCAACGAGGCAAGGCAGCAGTGGGTTGCTCAACGCTCAGAAGCTGAACAGAAGTATGAACGGCTCAAATTGATTTGGGAAGTCACCCACAACAAGCAGAAGGAGGAAGCGGACAGGAACGCTGCTGAAATGAGGGAGATTATCATGAAGCAGTCGAGGGACATTGAGGCACTACGTCATGAACTGAAATCTCGCAGTGAGCAGAGTAGTTCTTCTAATGTTCCGATTTTCGGTCTGAGGCCAAAGGCCTCTCCTGTACAGACGTTTCCTCGTCCTGGCCTGGATCTTAGTTCTAAGGTACGTATCAGGTCAGCTTCCACCGAGCTCCGCCGTGATGGGCCAGGTGCCGCCGATGATCTTGACGGGGATGCCGAGGAATACGAACCGACATCTCCGGCACAGGACCCCAACGATGGTGGTGGAAATCCATCAGGCACAGGGAATGGCCAGGGCGGAGGCGGTGGGGAACCACCTGCCGGCAATCCCGATGATGACGATGATCATGGCGACGACGATGACGATGGGAATGACGATGGGAAGAAGAGCAAGAAGGACAAGAAGAAGAAGAAGAAGGATAAAAAGAAGAAGGGCAAGAAGGACAAGAAGAAGAAGAAGAAGAGCCACAAGAAGCGAAAGAGTGGATCTCCTTCCGACTCTCCAAGCTCTTCATCGTCCAGCTCCTCAACATCATCATCCTCATCATCATCATCGGAGAAAGCACGAGTGATCCGCAAGAAGCTCAACAAGATCTTGGGTAAGCAGGCGAGCGCAGTGGACGCAGACCATGACAAGCCCAAGGTCAAGGAGGCGGAGAGGATTATCATTCCCTCCTTCCCACTTCCTGAGAGTTGCAGGAATTGGCGTATCAAGGTGCGGGAAGCCGTATGTGCGGCATCCGATCGCCCCGATGACGCTTTCACGTGGATCAGCAGAGTGTGGGAGCCCGCCGTTACAATCGAGGAGCTCAAAGAACCCGGTACTTTCCTCACCTTGGACGCCAAGTTGCTGTCCGCCCTCACCAACATCATTCAGGGTGACCTGGCGAGGCAAGTCGACACCTTCAAGGAGGTAGAGGCGCAGAAGAGGAATCCAGTTCGTGGGAGACAAGTGCTTCTCATGGTGCACGAGCACCTGAGCACGAACATCAAGCACCCACCTATGCCATGGAAGATCTCCTCAATGTGAGGCTCGTGAACGATAACCTCACTTCCTTCATGCGTAGCTGGGAGGGTGTTCTTGCAGGAATGAATGCCAAGACACCGGATGACTCCATGCTTGAGGCTCTGTTCTACAACCAGCTGAAGAAAAGTAAGCAAATGCAACACCATTTGAATGTCTATTTGAGCGCCTCGGAAGAGTCCGCCGATCACTCATACACCTACTTGATAGAATCTGTGAGGCAATACCTGTCTCGAGCCAGGCTTGAGCGCAACCGAGAACGGGTTGCTAGGCAGAACGGGGGTAGGCCAGCCGCACCCGCCGCTGAGAGCCAACGTGTGCCTAAGGGGTTTTGCATTGCATTTGTCAAGTATGGGTCGTGTCGGCGGGACAATTGCACGTACAAGCATGAACAGCCATCGGGCGATGCCAGGGGTAGGACCCCATCAAGAGACGCTAAGCCTAAGAAGGGTAAGGGTAAAGGCCGAACGAATAGCCCAAAGGGAAGAAAGAGTGCCGTTTCTACCCCAAGGGGAGGTGTGACCGTGGTGAAAACTGCCCGTTTGCTCACATCGACCCGAAGCCGGCCGTTCCAGGGTCAAGGGAGCCATCCGCAGACAAGCAAAAGAAGCAGGGAAAGGATCGGAAGCATCGCAAATCGAGCAGGGATCGCTCCAAGTCGACCTCTCGATCCACTTCCCGTGATTCCAAGGGAGATAAGAAGAAGGGTCACAAGGGAAAGTCTTCCGGAAAGCCTTCTCCTGCTGCTGTTTGCGTGTTGGGATGCTTGTTGTCTTCCATGATGAACGCCCCTATCGCTGAGGGGAACCTCATGTCGGACTGGAAGCATGTGCCTGCCCTCCCGAGCGTGCGTTTCAGCTCGAAGGTTGAAATGAATCGGATACCAGCACATGGTGAGCAGTTTAAGATCGCGGACAAACCGCGCGTGTATTCAAAGGTCTACCCAATCGACCATCAGTTTTTCCATGATGAAGTCAGCATAGATGATGCTAGACTCGGAGCAACCATGCTCGCCTTCATTGTGAGGCGTGAATTGGAAGGCCATCCGACTAGATGCAAATACGAATGTGACAGCGAGATCGGATGCTGGCAATGCGCCCCGAGAGACATGGGCGCAAAGCCCGCCCTGGCGAGCAAGAGATTCTCTCCGAACTGTTCATGGATTATTGACACTGGGAGTGGGACTGATCTTTTTACTCGTGCGAATTGCCCCGAATATGCAATTTATAATTCAAATGACCCCGTGATGTTGATGACTGCCAATGGACCAAGTGATTCGTCAAAGCAGGCCAACATGGCCGCAGGTGACCTTGGGAACACGGATCCATACTTGTTGCCACAAACACCCTCTGTTCTCTCTGTAGGTTTGAAGTGCATGAATCAGGGTTATGACTTCATATGGTACGCAAAGGATAAGCCATTCTTTGTCAAGCCTGATGGGACGAGAATATATCTCAAAGTTCGAGATTATGTCCCGTACTACGACGTGTGGGATGGCGACTCAGCCATGGCATGTCCCGCCAAAGGCACACCACCAAGCCGACCGGAAGGTCAGGTCGGCAGAAGTAGTGCATCGAGTGAATCGTCATACTCCTCATCCGCGCAAGCTGAAGATGCAGAGGGAGAGGAGTACACGCCTAGCAATGCCCCTCTAGAGGATCCTGAGGTGCATGCTAGAGTTGTCGCCGAACTTCTGGCGAATGACCCCATTGAAGTCAATCCAAATGAACATGCTGAGCCGATAGAGAGTAAAGATGGAAGATGTTGTTGGCAATCCCGATAAGAAAAGCCCTAGATCACTTGCAGAAAGTGCCCTACGGCAGGAAGCAGCATCACGGAAGCACCTGATGACACACCAGCCAAAGAATCCATTCTGCGAAGTGTGCAAATGCGCCAAGATGACCAAGTCTCCCTCTCGCTCGCGGGGGGGATCCAGACAAGTTGATGCTCGAAAATTTGCTGAGCACATCACAGCCGATTTCATAATCACTGCAGACGAACAGGAACTAGGCATAGATGATGAGTACTCTGCTCTTGTCATAAGTGACGTTGCCACCGGTTTCAAGTATGCATACCCTTTTGCTAAAAGAAACACGGAAGCCACTGTGAAGGCGTTTCAGCATTTCACTTCCTCGTCAGACGAGGTTGGCACGTTTTATAGTGACAATGCCCCTGAGTTAATTGCTGCAGCTGAACAGATGGGCTGGAGACATGTCCTCAGTCAAGAGTACATTCACAAATCGAACGCGGTGGCTGAACGAAGCATCAGAACCGTGCTCGAGGGAACTCGAGTCGCACTTGCACAGGCCGGATTGAATCATTCATACTGGCCGCACGCCGCAAGGCATTGGTGTTTATCTCAAAATGTTTGTGAACCACCTTCTGGTTCCAGAACACCTTGGAATCTTAGGTTCGAAGATGAGTTCAAAGGTCAGTTCTTGCCGTTCGGATGTCGCATAGACTACTGGATTGGCCCAAGACAGAAACCGAAGAAGGACTTGAAGTTTGATCCCACGTCCAATCCGGGAGTGTTTGTTGGATATGTTATCCACCCCGGCTTTCTATGGAGAGGTGACTACCTTGTTGCATCGTTGAAAGAGCTGAATGAAACGGACTTTGATGATGTTGTGAAGTTGCATCGTGTTTTCAAAATCACGAGGCCCGATGGAAACTTTGCTTTCCCGATGCAGGACCGTTACAAGTCCCTTCGAGAGGGTAAGATTTCTTCAAATCAGTCTGGTCCCACCATTCAGGATGCCCCTCTCCTCGAAGCGGGACAAGATCCGGAGGCTGTTGCCGATGTGGAAGATGAGACGCTTCTAGATGAACCTGCTCCATCCAAGGTGGAAACAATCAAAACTGTTGATCACAAAACTGGTGGGTTAGTTGAAATCCCGAAAGAAGGATCCTCATTCTCAGAGG